CTCACCCTCCAGCAGGTAGCCTACGAGTAAGAAGGTGAGCTGCCATCCCAAATGCATGGGGTTCGAATCCACCAGCTGCTCTACGGAAGAAAGATGGGCAACCTCCTCCTGTGTGATTTACTGCCTCTAAAAAACTGCTGGTCAGCTGTGGGACAGGTCTGACTAGATAGCACACAACAAATTACTATGACAATAACAGAGAGAGAGTGAGAGGAGAGCAAGAGGAGAGAGAGAGAGCGAGAGAGAGCACGAGCGTGAGAGCGAGAGCGAGAGAGAATGAGAGAATTCTGTCTCTGGAGAACCATAGGACAAGTTCCAAGTTCCTACTCAACTGTCACTGTCTCCACATACCTCTAGATCCTTGCATGAAATTCAACAGCAACTCCAATATCACTCATTCTCTCTCACACACACATTGTCGTTGTCATGTGCTGTCAAGTTGCTTGTCACTCATAGCGACCATATGTACAACATCTCTGAACTCTGCTCTGTGCTGAGCCAATCTCATTGTCTCTGATACACCTTCCTCCATTACCCCAGTCACTGAGTCACCCAGGGTCTTTCTCTCCTGTGCTGCCCCTCCACCCTTCCCAGCATGCTATCCCTCTCCAAGGACTGGTCACTCCTTGCAACATGCCCAAAGTATGTTAGGTACACACATGTTGTTGTTGTTGTTGTTGTTGTTGTTGTTGTTGTTGTTGTTAGGTGCCATCGAGTCGTAAACGACTCATAGCGACCCTATGAACGAAAGGCCTGAGCACTGTTCATAGAGTTTCCAGAGGCAAGCCATTTCGGAAGTGGATGCCACTCGAGCTTCCAGGCTTGTTTCATTCGGGAAGCTCCAGCAAACACTGTCCACCATGGGTAACCATTACCACATTTGAGACATCAGTGTCACAGTGTTCACACACATACATTAAAAAAATGAAAATAAAAAATGAAACTCTCATTGCTGTCTGAGTCAGAACTGACAATAGTTGACCGTCCAGCAGGTTTTCCGAGGTGGTAAACTGCATGGGAGGAGAATGCCCATCTCTCTGCCAAGGAACTGCTGGTTGATTCAAGCTGCCACAGGGGCCTAACTTCGGGTTAGCAGCTCAACTCCCTACACACTACGCTACCGGATGGCACAAGCCCCAAAGCTGACTCCCAATCTTCTCTCAAAACCCACCCATCCCATGGTCACCCCACTCCATCAAGGGCAGCTCGGTCCTTCAGGGGCTCAACCTTGGAGTCATGCCCAACCTCTTTTTCTCCTCCAATCTATCTGTATGAAACTCAACAGCAACTCCAATATCACTCATTCTCTCTCACACACACATTGTCATTGTCATGTGCTGTTGAGTTGCTTGTCACTCATAGCGACCATATCCTATCCAAGCCATCTGTAAATCAGACAGCTCTGCAGTCAATGCAATGGCACACAAACACCACCCCCATGAAAGAACATGTGGGAGCCGACCACTCTCCTCACCTCCACCGACCTGCGCTGCTTGGAGCCACCAGCATCGTGAACCTGTAATAGTCCAATACCCTCCTCCCTGGTCCCTGCTCTCCCCCTCCTCCTACTCCCTGCCTCCTAAAACTGATTGACGTTAATACATCAGGTGGATGGTATTCATCTTCTGATCAAAGCCTTCCAGTCCTCCTCATGTCACAGAATGTCACAGAAAAGATAAAGCCCTCGTGACCTGAGCCCGGCACTCATGGCCATGTCTCCTGCTTGCCCATCTTCTGCCCTCTGCTCCAGCTTGCCCCTGGCTCAGCACGTTGCCTTCCCCTGGAATGTCCTGCTTGCCTCACTCCATCCCTTCCAAAGGCCTTTGCCCAAAGCCCACCTGTCACAGAAGCAGCCTCTCGGCCTATGCTGCTGGACACCCCACTCCCCAGCACTTCTATTCCCTGTGCTGCATCGTTTCCCCCAGAGCACATACTCTGTCCAGTACATTGCATTTGTTTATCATCTGTTCAATGTCTCCAGCAGAATGGAGGGTTGTGGTGGAGACATTTGTCGTGGTCATTGTCATCTACTAGAATCAAAGCCCCACACATAGTGGATGGTCAGTGAATCCAGAATGACATTCAGTCACTTTACCTAACAGGCCCTGGGGGTTTATTGTCCCCTCTCTAAAACAGAGAGGTTAAGACACTTGCCCAAAGTCACACAGTCTGTAAGTGGAAAAAGCGTACTTGGGTTTGCTGATACTCGGGTCTGTCCAGCTCCAAATCTTTGCATGTAAGCAGCGTAGTTTAATGGCTCAAGTTGGCTATGGCAACAGGCTGTCCTCAGTCCCTTAGGCCCTGGTACTTCCTAGGCAAATTCCTTAACTTCCAGGGCCTCGGACTCCTTGCTTGCAAAAGGAAGCGAGCGCAGACAGCTGTGGAGGGCGTGATTGGGAGGCTAAAACGCGCCGCTGCACACACGAACCTGAGGTTATGATGACTGGTATCAATAGCTAAAGTGAGCCCTCCTCTCATATTCAAGGTGCGGCCTCTGTCTCAGGAGCTGTTCACACACTCCAGGCCTCCCTCCCTCTCTTGTCAGGGACGTGGAAGATGAGTGGTCGACTGATATGTTAATCTCGCTATAGCAGACGTCAGAGTGACAGCCGTTTCACGGGCCCCATTAGATCTCTGGGCCCCTTATGCTGAGTGATCTGTGGAGCTGTGATCTAACAGACCTGTGAGGCTCTCAAAAGGGGCAACAGTTCACAAATGGGGACTTCTAAAGAGTTGGCCACTGTGTGGAACAAAGGGTTACAGCGATACACGCAATCACCACGAAGTTGCCACGTGACGACCCGCCGTGCACACAGGATTGACTAGGTGCTTCCTGTGGGCTCCTCAGAGACTCTGCGAGTCCCATAGCTAATGTTGACCCCACGCACAAGGGAATGAAATCCTGCCTCTTTCTGCACCCTCCCCATGACCACTTACATCAGAATATTGGGACCCAGAAGGGGTTTTGGCAGAAGATTGCCAGGACTTTATTCTTAGTTCCTCTTAGTCTGGAAGCCTGGCCAAAACCTGTTCAGCAGCACACAGGCCTCCACTGCTGACAGGGGGCGGCTGAACAATTCTCCCACGGAGCAGATCAGGGTTTGAACTGCCTGCCTTTGGGTTGGCAGTGCAATCCTCTACCTCTAGGCCACCACAGCTCAACCCGAGCCATCACTGGCCCTCCAGATGAGACCGAGCACACAGTGGAAATCCAGGATGCCCAGCTGTGGTTCTTCGACTCTAGGGGGGAGAGGGGCGTTTACTGTCACATTCCTTTAATCATGCATTCGGCAATAAAATTTTCAAGAGCCTCCTGGAAGCCAGGCTCTGTAGGCACGGTCAGCAGACCCTCAGCAGAGCAGGTACCACTGGTCACATGCAGGGGAGAAGGGCCACGGTGGGCAGAGGGTGCTATGGGACTCCTGCCCTGTGACCCTGCAGACTTTGGGACGCTCTCTTCTCCAGCCTCGCCACCTGACAGAACTCAGGACCCTGAATTCTCACCGCCCACCCACCTCGGGCTTGTTGGGGGCTGTAGTGCACAGTCCAGGAAACGGGGGAGTCAACACCAAGGGAGCCACCTTGGCCAATCAGAGCTCATTATCATCAACCACCACCAAGTGAGAACCAACTCCTAGCGGAGCTTTCATTGATTTTCAGAGGCTATAAACAGCACAGGAGGAGACTGCCTCTTTTTCTCCCTTGGAGCTGCTGGTGGATTCGAACTGCCAGAGAGGAGTAGCCTTCGGGTTAGCAGCCCAATTCCCTATGGGCTATGCTACCAGAGCTCCCTCCCTTGATCACTAGTAGATCTGGAAATACTGGCATCAACCGAGCTAGGAAGGGGCCAAGTGTCAAGGGCAGACTCACCTTCCAATTCTGCCCTGCACACAGGGCTCTGTTCCTATGGGCCCATCTGGGAGGAGTCACTTGGTACCCCTTAGACTCAGGGACAGCTGCTGCCCGCAGTAACAGTCCTGTCCCAGTCCCAGTCTCCTCTGCCCTGGCTCCAGCCTCTGAGAAGGCTCCCTTCCCTCCCCTCCCCTCTCCGGTCAGCCCTCTCTTTGCCTCTGAATCATTCCAGAGTTGGGATGACTGCCTCTTCTTTAAAACATTTAGAAAAGAAGCTCCCAGGAGCCCCTTCTCAGGAAGAGAACTTTATACAATAGTAAATATGGTCACATCTCATTCACCCCGTGGGGCTATTCAGGCCAGCTTTGAAATGCAGCAAACCCGACTGAGAAGCTGAATTTTTAATTTGAGTTCATTTGAAACCAACCAGCCGCATGTGGCTAATAATAACCGTGTTGGCCGGCACAGTGCCACAGCCTGCCCCTGAAGCTGGGTTCTCCCTGCGTCCGGCCACCACCATCGCTGCCGAGATTAGAGGGTGGCTCCTGGTTCCAGAACAACCCGACCTGGTGACAGCTGCTCCCCGGCTCTCCCTACGCTCCCTCTCACTGCAGAAAACCTCAACTCAGGTACAGATGATCTTCACTTTTATTTCAGCATCTTCCAGTGCTCCGATATGTACAGACTTTATTTATACACATGTAATATACACCATATATACGTATTTATATATATTCACACGCCAGCCCACACACGCTCATCCACTCACACGGATGCCCTGCCGAGAGCGTGCTGGGCACCTCAGGGCCCGCCCCAGGCCGGGATGAGCAGGGCTGGGCTTGCCAGGCAGCTGTGAGGTTTTTTTGTTTTTAAAAAGAAGGCCATTTCCTTCAGTGGTGTCCTCCCTCTCCCAAGCCCCAAGCCCCCTCCCCAGAAAACTTTGCGTTTTTTAAAAATTTTTTTTTGGTAAGGTGGTTTTCTTCCACTCTTGTCAGGTGGTAGCTGTGGGTCTAGGCCATCAGAACGCTCCGTGCAGGTCTCTGGAGGGGTTTCCACCCCTGGCTCCCTTCCAGGGTCCCCCAGTTGGAAGGAGCCCCCCAACCGCAGGCTGTGGGCCCAGCCTCACCGTGCCCCGTGGGGAGGGGCTGCTATAGCGTCAAGGGCACCTGCCAGATGAGGAGGGTGCTGTCCGTCTCCCCACACGGAGCCGGCCTCATGCTGCCCCCTGGGGCGCCGCCAAAGTTGCGGTAGCCCTGGCCGCCAGAGATGATGGCCACGGAGCAGATCTCCTTGCGGTGGGCGTCGCGGGCGCAGGGCCGGCTGCGCACCCACACGTCGGGGTCGTCAGCCATCTCGTAGATGGAGCCGTCTTCCTCGCTGTGCTCCAGGGCGGCGCCGTCGGAGGGCGCGGGCTCCCGCACGGACAGCAGCGGGCCGGGCAGGTGGGCCGTGGAGCGCAGGCGGTACTGTAAGAGGATGCCCTTCTTGCGGGTCAGCTCGCAGCCCACGTGGCTCTCGGGCGCGGGCGCCGGCTCTTGGGGCTGCCCGTCTGGCTTGTCGTCCTTGGCCCGCGAGCCCTCAGCCTCCTCCTGGTCGCTCCGCAGGATGTCGGGGGCCAGGATGCTGGTGGCCACAGCCAGGAAGGCCACAGGCCCGCAGTGACCGTTGAGTGAGACCATGCCTTTCCCTGCAGAAAATGGGGCAATGGGGTGTTAGGCTAAAAACAAAAATGGAGATTGAAGCTCAACTCAAAAATCCTATGTCAGGATCTTTTCCAAAACCAGAACTCAGAAAATCCTATGTGAGGACATTCCCTAAAACCAGAACTTAGAAAACCCTATGTCAGGACATTGTTCTGAAACCAGAAAACCCTATGTCAGGACATTGTTCTGAAACCAGAACTCAGAAATCCTATGTCAGGACACTCCCCAGAATCCGTTTCCCAAGACCAGAAGCATTATGTCCCAATGAGCCGCTATAACGACCCCATATCAACCCCCTAAGCCCAACCCCCTGGGCTACTCCCCTTGCTGAGTAGCCAGACATGCAATAAACTCTGATTAATGTTTGAAATGTTTCTACCTCGGTGTGGTTCTTGGCTTCGATTTGAAACCTTTCAAGCGGGAGAGGGGCCGACAGGCCCAGAGCAGTAAGGACAGCATCCACATCTCACTCTTGAGAACTTTATGCTGCCTTTTTTTTTCCTTCTCTATTGTCACCTATACAGAAATGCTCCCAGAGGCCAGGGGTCTAGAGAAGGGCTAGCAAGCCCACCAGCCTTCTTTGCAGGTGGCATGAACGGGCCCCAAAGCAGCTGCATTTGTGTTGACTCCATTCCTGGTAACCCCACGAGCATCAGAGTAGAACTGTGGGCCAGGAGGTTTTCACCATCTGAGATTTTAGGCTGGAGATCACCAGGCCTTTCTCCCGGGGTACCTCTGGTGAACTCAGACCTACAACTTTGCAGCCCAGCATGTCAACTGCTTACACCACTCCGCCCTTGAACCTCATAAAGCACTCAAGAAAGCTGTCAGGGAGGGATTGTAAAACAATGAAAGAATTTTTCTTTTACTTTTCCAAGAGGGGAGTGTACTGGGGTGGGGGAGGGTTGGGAGGGGAGAAAAGTACAACAATGAATGAATGAATGACAATCCAAAGTCTGTAAATTTTCATTGAAATTAATAATAAAAAAATTAATTTAAAAAAAAAAAAAGAAAACTGTCAGAAACTCCTGCAAGTCCCTGCCCAGGGCACCTCACCCCCGGCCTTTCCCAGGCTGCCGTCTCCACCCAGCATGCCGCACCTTCTCCCCAAGTCTACAGAATTCCGAGCACAGCTCAAGCTCCTCCACACTGAATCCTTTTGAAATTCACCCCTGATAAGCAGATCACGCTTGTCTCCATGCCCCTCAGCCTCGGGGACACCTCCACCATGGCAGTGGCCACCCAGGACTACACTGCTCCCAAGTAGAGTGTTATCTTCTTGAAGGCAGGGTCTCTGCCCAAGCTCCTGTGCCCCAGGACTGCCCCTGGAATGAGCACAATGCCTCATGTGATGACAGGAGGAAATGTCAGTGCTGGGAAGAGCTTCCTTTGTGGAAGGCTCAAGCTCTGGTTTATCCTCAGGGCTCCTCGGCCTACTGCCATCATCGGCCGGGCATTTCTGCGTTTAGGAGGCGGCTGTCCTGTGCACGGTAGAGGAGGGACTCTTCTGTTCACTCTCAGATAAAGGCAGAGGGTCCAGGGTCTCAGTGGTACAAGGCAGATCATTTTCTCATCTGTGCAAAGCACAAGGACCCCGCAGGGTGCTGAGTTATTTCTCTTCCTGGAGCTGGACATTTTAGACTGTTGGAGGGAGGGAACAGAAGGGGTCCAGAGGAGTCTTTACTGGGGGGAGGGGGTGTCAGGGACTCTACGTAGATGCCATCACTTAGTTCTCAGACAGCCTGGTAGGAGGCACCACTGTTCCCATTTGCCAGATTAGGAAACTGAGGTATGAAAAAAGGGTTAGATGGGAGCTCTGGTGGCCTAGTGGCAAGGAGCTGCAACTACAATCCCAGAGGTGCACGGTTCGAATCCACCAGATGCTCTGCCGGGGAAGGAGGGACAATCTCCTCCTGTACCAGTCAGATCTGATTTGACTGTACTCACACAAAAATTTTTAAAAAAAAAAGGGTTAGAGGCTGTGGGGCCAGAATGATGGCATTCTGCTGTGCCCTGGGGAGGGTTTCTGGTGGTGTTGAGGTTAAAGTGCTTGGCTGTGAACCAAAGAGTTGGTGGGTGGAAGCCACCAGCTGAACCACGGGAGGAAGATGAGGCAAGTGGCCGCCATGAAGGTTTACTGTCTTGAAAGCCCCACGGGCAGCTCACGTCTGTCCTACATGGCCACTGTGTGCTGGAACCGACCTGACAGCAGCAGTTGTGGACAGGTGCCACAGGACCACCCATCATGTCAGATGACACTGGAGACTGGGCCCTTATCAGAAAAGAGCATAAACACCTGACCGCCCAAATCACCCCAGTACCCCAGACACTCACCTGTGATCTTGGGGATGCCTTCCAGCCGGGGTACAGGCAGCAAGACAATCACGCCCTGGTCGGTGCCCACCCAGAGCAGACCCTGGCAGATGAGGAGGCTGGTGACACACAAGTGCTTCTGGCCTGCAGGGAGAGAGGTCAGCGTGAGCAACGCAGCTCCCCTCTACGGGTGACGCCGGCCCAGTCTGAGCTGCTGCTGCACGGACAGCAAGGAGCTGCCTGGAGTTACAGACGGGCCAGCCGGCACGGAGCTGGCCCAGCTGGCTTCTGCCCCCGGACGCTGAAGCTGCGTGTTCACTCATCCAGCCTCAGCTTCCACATCTGTAAAATGGGCTGCTGTGAGGATGCAGCGAGTTAACAAGACAAAATGCAGCGACTGACCCAGAGTGGGCCAAGGGCAGCCCAGGACCGGACAGGGGCAGGTCTCCAGACAGGGCAGGTGAAGCAGATGTTGGTGTGAGGAGGGATCATGGAGGAGGGGGGCTGGCAGAGAGGTGGGGAGCAGTACGAGCGGGCAAGCTACTGACAGCCCCTCTACGAGCGCTGTTTCCAGCTCAGCCTGACATTCTGCCGACGTGAGCGCTTCTTCCAAGAGGACGAGACACTTCCTGCCGTTCTTGGCTAGACTGTGAGGCGGAGAGTCCGCTGCCGGGAACGGGCATGTACTTGATGTCATCCCAGATTAGTTCTTTCTCGGCACTCTTCTCTGCACTGTCTCTTCACATCAGGAAGAGCAGTGATGGCACAGAGGGCAGTGGGGCGTGCAGTGGAGTGTACAGGCTGTGGCACATGGACCCTGGATGAGCCCAGGCTCCTGGGCTCAGACACTGGCTTTGCCACGTGAGAGCTTCTGAGCCACAGCCGGGCCAGCCCCAACCCCCTCTGTGCCATGGTTTCCCCGTGTACAAAATGGGTTGTGTATGTCACTGTTTCATAGCCCTTGCCTGAGAATGAAATGAGTCAATGACCATCTAACACTGTATCACATGATCTGCTGTATGGCTTCTGTCCTTTAACAGTTCTGATTAGGTTACCCTGGCTCAGTGGTAGAATTCTTGCTTTCCACATGGGAGACCTGGGTTTGATTCCAGGCCAGTGTCCCTCAGGGGCAATCACCACCTTGATGTTGAAATATTTCAACAGAGATCCGGACCATGAAAGACTTGGAAGAAAGGCCAGGCAATGCATATATGAAAAACAGCCAATAAAAAGTCTGTCAGATCAAGGGAAGGGCATAGAATGGGGCAGCAACTAATTCTGTTGTGTGTGAGGTTGCCTTGAATCAGGAATCAACACTTAATACCAGCAACAACCCACTGGCATCAATAATTCTGCAATTCTAGAAACAATTCTGAGCAATGGAAAAGGACTGCAAGGGGCAGGGCAGGAGGCGATCTCAGGCTGAGAGGTAAGGGGTGCTAGCCCCTGTTTCAGGACAGTGCCCCACGTGGCCGCACGCAGGGTGGATGGCCCTGTCAGCCCCCTCTCGTTTCATCGCGTGCCTGCCTTTCCACAGGGCAGTCTTACTTCCCATGTAATCCTTCTGCCCCTTTCAGTGAGGTTTAATCCCCTGGAAAGGAAATTTCAATTCATACCACATGCCTGGCAAGAGCAATACCATGTTCTATTTGAAATGCTGCTTTCAGCAGTGGTTCTTAAACCTGAGCGAGCATCGGGAGGACTTGTGATCACACCAACCAATGGGCTGCCCCGGGGGAGCCTCCAGACTGAGCTTCTAGCAAGATCCTAGGTGGCGTTAAAGATGCTAGTCCAGAACCTCCCTCACTTGGAGGTAATGCTGCTTCAAGGTTCCCCAAGCACTGCCAGGCCTGCTCTACGGGGGCTCTGGGGCACAGCCTTTAGACCATCGTGCTGCTGGCCTAGTGACTTGACTTCACCTGTGATTCTGAGTAAAAAAGACAGGCAACATTCAGTCATGTGATTCACCACCTTGGAGACCCAACAGAGGGTCAGCTACGGGTCAGTTCTGATGCAACAGTGAGGAGGTTTTGAAAATCCAACAGTCTTATACCAGTTGAGATCCGTGAAAGGCACAGCTGTTATTCCCATTTTTATTTTTTTTTCTTTTAACTCTTTTTTTATTAAATTTTATTAATTTTAATGAACATTTACAGAGATTTTGGGTTTCCATTTGTTATTCCCATTTTACAGATGAGGAAATTAAGGTTTCCAGTGGTCACCCTGCTGACAAGGACAAGGATGAGAAGAGAGTTCAGGCCCACATCTTAATCAGTCTAGCGCTTTTCCTGCTCTAAGTTCCTTACTCTCCACATGTGTGGGCGTATGCTAGCTATAATTACAGATAACATTACAAAGACTGCGAACTGCAGAACATGTAATTGTGCTCGTGTGAAACTCAGATGAAGAGAGAGTCATTCTAACAGAACAAGAGGATACCGGATGGGTTAAAATCAGGAAAGGGATGCAGCACGGCTTGGCATCCTTTCACTCGATTGATTCGATCTGTGCTGAGCAAAAGAATCTGAGTGACAGGCAGGATATGTCACGAGGGCTGGAGTAAGATGCACTAACAACATGTGAGCGGCACATGGCAGCCTGAAGGCAGACCACTTGAAGCACTTAGTGAAGAAGATCAAAGACTTCAGCCTTTGGTATGGATTACACTTCAACACACAAAAAAGGAAAGAAATGTCCTAACTGAGGATTCTCCTGCACCACTAAGCAGCGTCATGATGAACAGAGAAAATATCAAAGCTGTCAATTATTTCCTTTCACTCGGATCCACAATCGGCACCCATGGAAGCAGCAGTCCAGAAATCAGTGTCTCGCACTGGAAGAAAACCGTAAAATGTGCTGTCAAAGTGTCAAAAAGCAAGGATGTCATTTTGCGAATTCAGGTTCATCTGGCCCAAGTCCTCATGTCTTCAGTCCTCTAATATGCATAAGAAAGCTGGACAATGAATTAGGAAGACCAAAGAATTGGTGCGTGAATTACAGTGCTGCTGAAGAATACTGAATATGCCATGAACTGCTGGAAGACGGAGCACATCTACTTCAGGAAAAGTACAGCCAGAATACCCCTTAGAAGTGAAGAAGGGGTGCCTTTGTCTCAGATACATTGAACATAGCATCTGAGGGATTGGTCCCTAGAAAAAGACTTCATGTCTGACAATGTACAGGGCAAGTGAGAAAGAGCAAGTCGGCAGAGAGTGGAGCTGACAGAGAGGTTGACAACGGCTCAAATGCAGAGGTAGTTACGCGGATGAGCACGATCACTGTATTGGACACAGGGTAGCTGAAAGTCAGAACTAACAACAGCTCTAGTGATTCCTCTGGGGGACCGAGTCTCAGGGACGTGGTGGCTCCATGCTGTTGCTGTTGTCAGATGCAGTCAAGTTGAGTACAACTCACAGCGACCCTGTGAACAGCATAGCTGAACCCTGTCCCATCCTGTGCCACCCTCATCATGTCTGACACATTTGAGTCCACTGCTGCGGTCACTGCGCAAACCCCTCTGGTTGAGGGTCTTCCTCTGACCCTCTACCTTTCCAAGCATGACGTCCCTCTCGCAGGAAGCCTCTCCCAGGTCCAAAGGATGTGAGATGACACTTTGCCATCCTGGCCTCCAAGGAGCACTCTGGCTGCACTTTTTCGAAGACATACCCGCTTGTTCTTTTGGAGTTCGTGGGATATCCTGTACTCTTCTCCAACACCACAGCTCAAAGGCATTGATTTTTTTTTCTTCTTCTGTCATCTTGATTCATTTTCCAGCTCTTAAATGTATAGCAAGTGATTGAAAAGACTGTGGCTTACAGCTCTGAAGGCCAACCCCTTTGGAGGCACTTCTCATGCAAAGGGAATTGTGTTGGGGCAAGTGGGTGTTGAGGCCAAGCAGCCCAATCCCGTCATTAGAAAGCGTGTCGGAGTCCCGCTCATCAAGAACAGCAGAAAATCAACCGAATGATGGCTGCTCAGATTTTAGCGAGTAAAAATGATGATGTTCTTGTTGCTGGATTCAGTCACAAAGGTCATGCTGTTGGTGACACCGCTGGAGGCTGCTTTAAGATTGTCAAAGGGGCCAGAGGATCTCTTTTGGTCTTAAACAAAGGCAGGAAGGAACAGCCAAGACCTTAAAGTGTTGATGAAAATGTTATAGAAATAAATTTCCATATGCCAAAAAAGAAAGAAAAAGAAAAATAAAGACAAGACCATGGCTTGAATTAGGTGCATCTGAATCTTCACACTGACATCACTGCTCCTCAGTACTCTAGGGAGTTGACAATAGGCCTTCCCAACGCAGTATGTCTTCTGATTTCTTGACTACTGGTGCAAGGACGTTGACAGTGGATCCAAGTAAGACGAAATAGTTGACAATTTCAGTCTCTTCTCCATCTAACATAAGGTTGCCTATGAGCCTGGTGGAGAGGACTTTTGTCTTCTTGATGTTGAGACATAATCCACATTGAAGTCTTTGACCTTCTGCAGCAAGCGCGTCAAGTCCTTCTCACTTTCAGCAAGTTGTTTCATCTGTATAAAGCAGGCTGTTGATGTGTCTTCCTCTTAACCTGATGCCATCTTTTTCTACATAGAGTCCAACTTCTCTTATGATTTGTTCAGCATACTGAATGAATAGGTATGGAGAACAGATATAGCTCTAATGCACACTCTTCTTGATTTTAAACCATGCAGTGTTCTCTTGCTCTGTAAACACCCACAGAGGAAGGCACCCCCCTCACAATCTACTGCAAATGGTATCATTTGCAAGTCTATTTGCAAACAGCAAAACATCTCAGGGATCTGTTCACCCAGCCCCACACATCTCCAGTGTGTGAGTCTGTGCTTGGTAGTACAAGACACACTGGAACCAGACACACTCTATTTCTACTCTTGAGAAAAAAAAATTCTAGAATTTTCTGTAACAGAAATGTTTTCATGATGTGCAAGTCAGTAGCTTAGCTTAGCCACGTGTGGCTTCTGAGGACTTGATCTGTGACTAGCAGAACTAAAGAGCTGACTATTTAATTTATTTCATTCCAATTAGTGAAAAATAGTAGCTATATGGAATGGTGCAGACCTAGAGAGGAGACAAAGGAACCGAAAACATAAACAAAAAACATAAGCACTATGAAGTAGATAAAATG